CCTGATTCAGATACATGGAAGCCAGCCAGTGCTGTGTATTGGATATCCAGTAGTAGAGATTTTGTTAATCCTGTCCTGTTAGGGATACAGTATAGTGTTAGAGGAATTGTAAAATCTTCAGAGATTAAAGTCCTAAGGGCAGATGATAGACCTACTCAGAATATGTCGTTTGTATTCCAGGAGTATTCCAATTTCACTCTCAATGGTCCTTACATTTATCTTTTATTGACTCACTTCAGTGGTGTTTCTGCTACTTCAACTGCTGAACTTAACTTTCAAGGAATTTTATTCAAATCTTTTAAGGACAAGTATATCTGGGACTATAGCTTTGTTGTATACATTAGCTATGCAGATGCTATATTAAACAATAAAGTAAATAATTTTTATATGCACATCCTTGTACATCCCAATCCATTGTTAAGGTTCTTGCTGAATATGATGTGGAAAATTGGCCAGCTGTTACAAAGAAAATGGTTGTTGAATTTGAACAAAACAGCACATCAATAATCCTTAATTTACCATCACTGCAGGATTGGGATATAATAGAAACAACATCACCACTTGTTGTAAGTGTATAGTAGATATTGATAGCAATTATTTAATATATTTTTACCTCCTTTTGTAGTGTTACAAGAATCACCTAATGAGCCAACATAGTGTCAATATGCAATTTATGCTACGTTGGAAAGGCCATGGATTTCCAAGTGGTGATTTTGTAACACTCCATCTCAGTGGGGCATTACTACCAGTGAAAATTACTTTTTATACAAACTCAAGTAAGTTTAAACTTTCAGGATAACTCTCATGCAGATTACATCTTAGTGTCATTATTAGTCAAGCGGGATAAAGACCAAATTCATATAGGTAAGTATTGCAAAAATTATGCTGTATAAATATAAAGTTCTAATTTTTAAACCTGGCAAAGCTCCAGGTTGTTCTTAAGATTGTTTTTATCACGTGCAATGTACATGATATCATACAGCTTAACAACTACCCACCAATGCCCCTTATGTCAAAAAAATGGAAGCTTACAGGCAATAAAAAGTTTTGAAATGTCACAGAGATACTGTCTAAAGAATCTTATATGAACCCAATTTAGTGGTGAAAACAATCTTAGCCGGGAATATTTATACACTACTTAATCTTTATAAATTCATGTAGAGAAACAATTGGATACTACAAATTTGGAACAAATCTTATCATTATTAAAGAAAAATAATTATGATGCCAGTACTTGGCACAGGCTCTGCCTTAGGTTGGGCTTACTTGAAGAAACTTTAAACACTATTAAAGCAGATGAGAACAATGTTTATGGTTGCCAGAAAACATGTTTACACAAATGGCTAGAGAGAGCTGATAAAGTAGATGATAAAGGAGGAGCAACATGGACTTCATTGGAAAAGGCTCTCAAAGACATTGACCAAAAGGCAGTAGCTGAAAGTAAGTGAAGCATGACTACCAGTATATACTGTATTCATACTTTTACTTATAATAGATATGAGAAAGAGCAGAGCACACTCAGAACTTTAAAAACATTATACATGTACATGCTGCAGTGTGAACAATATTTTATTTTTACTATATAGTGTCAAAATCTGATAAAGCAAAAAGGAAATTAATAATAAATTTTTATTGTAATACATGTACATGTACCTTGTGCTAGTCTTACAAGACTCTCCAATAGACGTATTGTAGTTCTGGCAGCATTAAGAGTATCAGTTTGACGTTGAAGCTGATAATATCTGGATAAAACCCTGAAAGCATAAACGTAAAGCATAAATTGGGAAAATTAAATAATCATTTGGGAAAAATTTTGTGCTATTTTACACGTATCTTAGCAGCTCTAACATTATTATTGTTAACTAAGCAAAATTCCACTTTCAGCCATTAAGATAAAATAACATTATTTATAGCAGTCCAAACTTCCCAATAATGTCGCATTTTGACAGGTAAAATACTTGTTTGATAGACTACATTTGTACCAGTAACGTTACACAATATTGATGGTTCTTACTGGTTAGCTGGTTCAGTCATTACTGGTTTTAATGATTTCACATAGCTTAGGTAAGACTTCAGTTGCTCAATACTCCACAGGTGACAATTATACTTTAACATGTACATGCACATGCCAGTGTACTAATATAACTACTATTACAGTGAATACTACAAAAATAAGCCAGCACAGTATTACAGTAAAATGTAGCAAATGTACTACAATAATCTAATTTTTACAAATGCTCATTACTAATATAGACCTCTCAAGCTGAGAATGAATTATTACGTCACTAGA